TCTGCAGCGGAGTCTGGAGCAGGAGACGAGGAGCCGCCTGCGGACGGTGACAATGTGACACCTCGAGCTGGTGAGGCTGCAGGGAAGCCGGAAGAATCGGCAGAATTAGACGAGAGTGAAGAGGAAACGGAAGGCGGTTCTGCAGCGGAGTCTGGAGCAGGAGACGTGGAGCCGCCTGCGGACGGTGACAATGTGACACCTCGAGCTGGTGAGGCTGCAGGGAAGCCAGAAGAATCGGCAGAATTAGAGGAGAGTGAAGAGGAAACGGAAGGCAGTTCTGCAGCGGAGTCTGGAGCAGGAGACGTGGAGCCGCCTGCGGACGGTGACAATGTGACACCTCGAGCTGGTGAGGCTGCAGAGGAGCCAGAAGAATCGGCAGAATCACAGGAGAGTGTAGAGGAAACGGAAGGCGGTTCTGCAGCGGAGTCTGGAGCAGGAGACGAGGAGCCGCCTGCGGACGGTGACAATGTGACACCTCGAGCTGGTGAGGCTGCAGGGAAGCCGGAAGAATCGGCAGAATTAGAGGAGAGTGAAGAGGAAACGGAAGGCGGTTCTGCAGCGGAGTCTGGAGCAGGAGACGAGGAGCCGCCTGCGGACGGTGACAATGTGACACCTCGAGCTGGTGAGGCTGCAGGGGAGGCGAAGATATCGGCAGAATCAGAAGAGAGTGAAGAGGAAACGGAAGGCGGTTCTGCAGCGGAGTCTGGAGCAGGAGACGAGGAGCCGCCTGCGGACGGTGACAATGTGACACCTCGAGCTGGTGAGGCTGCAGGGTTCGGCCTTGAATCGGCAGAATTAGAGGAGAGTGAAGAGGAAACGGAAGGCGGTTCTGCAGCGGAGTCTGGAGCAGGAGACGAGGAGCCGCCTGCGGACGGTGACAATGTGACACCTCGAGCTGGTCTCCGACGTCCCCTCCGCTTCTATAGCCGTCTTAGTCTTCTCTCACTTCTCCTTTGCCTTCCGCCAAGACGTCGCCTCAGACCTCGTCCTCTGCTCCTCGGCGGACGCCTGCCACTGTTACACTGTGGAGCTCGACCACTCCGACGTCCCTTCGGCCTTGAATCGGCAGAATTAGACGAGAGTGAAGAGGAAACGGAAGGCGGTTCTGCAGCGGAGTCTGGAGCAGGAGACGTGGAGCCGCCTGCGGACGGTGACAATGTGACACCTCGAGCTGGTGAGGCTGCAGGGAAGCCAGAAGAATGCCGTCTTAATCTCCTCTCACTTCTCCTTTGCCTTCCGTCAAGACGTCGCCTCAGACCTCGTCCTCTGCACCTCGGCGGACGCCTGCCACTGTTACACTGTGGAGCTCGACCACTCCGACGTCTCCTCGGTCTTCTTAGCCGTCTTAGTGTCCTCTCACATCTCCTTTGCGAAGGCGGTTCTGCAGCGGAGTCTGGAGCAGGAGACGAGGAGCCGCCTGCGGACGGTGACAATGTGACACCTCGGCCAGCAGTCATAGGGCCTTGTTTGTTGCCGTTGGTTTAATGCGCGGCGTTTGCAGATGGTGCTGATGAGGCGACTGGAGCAGAAGGCCATGAGACGTTGACAGATTCTACGGAGTAAACGCAGGCGTCACTTCCAGAAAGCCCAGTGGTCATTCATCTGTCAGGGGCTCCAGAGCCTGGAGAGGAGACTTGGTGCCGCATTTGGACAAAGATGTTTTGCTAGGCTGTAGAAGCTTCTTGGGCGGACACTGAAAGTTTCAGAATAATTCTTCTCTTTTGATTTCGAAGCTCTCTCTTCTTCTCCAACGAAAGCTTCGGCACAATCTGTTGGTGAACATATTTTAGCGCACAGCCTTGAGTTTGCAACTGCCCGCAGTGATGGCGGTTGCAACTGTGGACGTTGTAGTCATTTTGCTGAGGAGGCACAGCGTACACCTGGCACTGTGCGGAAGAGAGCATGCTCCCAGCGTCGCCAAAAAGCACTGGGCACTGCAAATGTGCCAGTCGTAAGTGGGTCTGGAGTAGCTTACTCTCTGCATAGGGGTTAACTGAAGGTTATGTTTGGCAAGCAGAAGCAGGAGTGTCTTTTGTACATGGTAAGACTCGATCTAAATGAAATTGCTTCGATTGTGATGCGAAACATGACATCCGGCCTGTGACGCTATAGAGTTTGACGTTCTCAACAAGGAGCTTTGCCGAAGTGACATCATAGGCCGCAGCTTGATTTGTGGATTAAGCGCGCTTTTGGCACTGTGAGAGACATGGGATTGATGCGCTTGCTTCACGCCTCGGGGTCCTTTCCCACTTGTTCAAGCTTGTGTCTCTGAACTCATCTTAATCATCTTCGGCAGAGCGACATAAATATGAAGTCGTAGCCGGCTCATTGTAAACTCAAAAAATGTTTAGCCTGGTCCCTTTTGTGAACCGGTCTGCAATGCGGATCGTGGCACAGCAGACTTGTAACTGACCATTTCTAGGACTCATGCGTGATATGGGTCTTCATGAGGAGGGTTGTAGATAGGATTAGTTGGCTGAGTTTTCGACGTTTTTCTTCTTATTTCTACGCAAGAGACGGCGGGGATAGTATGCTTTCGTTAAGTCTAAACTTCACGGCAACGTGAAGAGGGATTGTATTGGAATAGAAGCACGCAGTTCCAATTTGCCCTTTAAAATGCAACTGTTTTAGCTCATTCTTCTACGCATTTGCGACAAAGAGGCAATTGGGCGGTCATTCGTCTACAGTCATAGTGTTGCTTAAAACTAGAAGCCAATACGCAAAGCAATAAGATGACAGCAAACGGTGTAGACGCATCTTGGTCTCTGCGTGTCCCTGCGTCTGTGTAAGCCCATGGTGTTACTACCGAGTGTGTGTGTATGCTGTCATGGGGTTTCCACATGGCTCGAGGCGGCAAAGCCCAACTCCGAAACCCAGCAAACGAAAATTTCTACGTGATTGAAAGCAGTCATATACACATAAACGATGAGCATAATGCTGCATTTGAAGTTCGGGCAGCTCTTCACTGGTTAGGCTACTTCCTAGGAATAGAATCTGAGGTACGAAGAAACCACACTTCTTGGCGCCCGCTAACACGCGCACGAAATGACACACTCGAGCTTCAACTTTATTCGTGTTACTGTGGCATCTCGAGGCTGACGGAATTTTCCGCATACACCCAACTGGCATTCCCGCGATAACACTTTGTGTCGAGATGGCAACAAAAGGCATGCTTCAGTACTTTGACTATAAGTGCAAACTAGGAAAGTATAGAGCTTAACCCATCGAAAGATTCGATTTTGCGACAAAGATAATCATTGGGCTAATCTTGAAAATCTGATGAAATACCTGTTTTAATTTTCAGGACAAAAAGTACCATGGCAACTCTGTTGTCCGCTAGTTTGCGACTTGCAGCAATAATGTTAGAACTGTTAGAATTTATGCTGAATGAGCAGCGATGCCTATTTCCTCACTTGCCTTCTACGTACACTTTTAGGGCTTCGAGAATAACATTTGTAAATGCCTTCTTGCCGTTTCCCTTGGGTTGCACAACCAATTTGGAAAGGCAACATGGCCATAAGCGATTGGCTGCCGAAGGCTGCTTGCATTAAAGCCAATTTCTCAGGCCCCTGTAACGTAAAGTTTCTTGCACCAAGAGATTTGATGTGGAGCAAGCTTCGCCTTCCCCAGAGTGCCAAGAATCCGGATCAAACAAACATTTTTCACCCTTATTTCGTGTGAGATTTCTGTTCTCACTGAGTAGAGTCTCTGCATCTGCTTTTGGAGAAACTAAAAATGATGAAAGCAGATGACACTGAAAAAGACGAAGGACAATCCTTCAGAGGAACTCAGAGGTGCAGTCAAAGGCAAAAAAGCGTCAAGCCTGTGACAACACACAAAGGGACTTAGGGTGAAGTTGGTTGGAGTGGCAAATTTAGAGCGAGGAAAGTGGCAGGTTTATTAATAAGAGCCACAGCACTTCTAGATGGCTACCGTCCGCTCCACTAGGACCCCTGAGAATTTACAAGCTTTAACAGCTGCTCCCAAGATAATTTTTGAACAAGTGCACTGGCATCAAGGACATTTGTTCCTTCAGCGTCTGTCTGCGCGAGAACCTCTAAGGTTACTGTAATCTGCAGTGGTGCTGAACAAGCATTTGGTATAATATGACAGCACATTTTGTGTAGGCCCTTTTCTCTGTAGAGGTCTACTGGGTATTCGCCGTTCCTTCCATTCCGTTTGCCCCTCTGCTGTCTCGTTCACAAACACTAGAAACATTATAATAATTCCAAGAAGTGCAACGCTCTCATGTCATCAAAGGCATACCGGCACTGGGCATTCTAAAAGGAAAATGTTTTCATTTTACGGCGTTCAAATTCTGCGTGTGGTCTATTGAAATCGGCCGAACACTTCACACCACAGAATTGTGACTGTTGAACAGTTTAGGCTGCCGCGATACTGCGGCCGCCTATCTCAAGGCAGCATTGGTAAAAACTGTTTATGACACACAGCAAAGACTTTTTCGCGCAAAATGAGTCACAAGAGAGCATTTCTTCTGTAGTGTAGAGGAAAATGGTGAAATCAGCAAGGGAAGAAGGGCACTTCAAGTGCGAACAACAGCGGACTATGCTTCTTCCACTGACGAAAAGTTTGTTCTCTAACCAGCGACTCCTCCCCTAACACTTTCTTCGGCGAGTTTACACAGAAGAGTTTTTTTCCACAAGCAAAGACTTTAATGCACTTCTGTACGTCACCTAGAAGTTGAGGACGGTAACCCATTAGGTTTATGCAAATGGGATTCAATCAATTTCTGCCTGTGGTATTCGTCACCGACTGAACTTTAGTCGTTTTGGCTTCAGGAGCGAGGAGAGAGGCATGGTGCGATTGCTCGGATCCTTCCTCATAATCGCTTGCTCCCCTGAAAGTGCGTCTTAATTGTCCCTTCTTAGCAGCTAGTGTGTCGTTTCAGTTTTATCACTGGCCTTCACGCCTTCCCCCTAAAACTGTTGGTCCGTTTCAATGTACTTAAGCGGACAAACTCAGCGGTAGCTGTGCTGAAAATGAGCCCGTGGTCAGTTAGAAAAGCTTGCGCCTAAAGTAACTGCATGGTTTAGTGAAATTGTCAACGATCCACACAGCACTGTACTTGCGGCATTAGGGGGTTCTTTCTCCTTATACAAAAAAATGTAAATAATGAAGGACACGCGCTAGCCAACAGATGCAGTAATCATCAGGGGGTCTCCGCCCAAACCAAGCTACCGTCTCACGCCCTGAGGGCAGTGACGCTTCGTGGAGATGACCAGCTGGCGAAACCCTGGACAGGGAGGGGCAGCCTGCCACTATCTTTCCTGCATCACTGTTTCTAGGCCTGGGGTTGGGCGTCGCTTTTCAGGGGATTACAGCGCAGTCGTTGGAGCTCTCTTTTTCCTCAGACCCTTCAAAAAGCAGAAGAATATTTGAGCTGCGGGCTTGGTGAGTGCGTGTCAGAGCGCTTTACTTGTTGCACATTGGAACGTTTAAGTAAAATGCATTGAGCGCATAGTGCTGCATTTACGGCAACACTGCTTCTTCTAGACTCTACACCTCACTTGAAACGTTCAGTTTTATTTACCGCTCAAATTTGTGCGTCGGTTAAGATCGAATTCTTGTTGGACGGGAGACACGGACCTTGTCCCTTCTCTTGCAGGACGAAGGCGAGCTGCTCCTTTATCATGTACATTTCTCGGCTACAAATTATTTTTTAAAGGTTTAACTGGCTGAGTACTTCATTGCTTCAGTGTAACTTTAGGGGCGAAGCTACCTTGCTTTTTTCTTCCTACGAACGCTCAAGCACCTGCATGTGGCGGGCTGGCTGGGTTGGGTCCAAGGGCCGGTGTTAGTGCTAGAAGGTCTTTTTGTTTCTCCCCTGTATCTTTTTTTGGCTTTTGCGTTGAATAACTTTACTGACTCACCGAAAATTTAGCACGAGCAGCGCAAAGCACCTTCACGGGGGCCCGCTGGGGTCTGCATGCGCATAAATGGATACCTGGACGTGTACATACGCGTGACGTTGCTCTCTGAGCATCCCCAGAGGTCTGTCAAGCCCGGCTGCGTCATGAATGTGGGCTCAAGAACTCAGCATATTCAGAGCCCCTCAGCCCTCTAACACCAGTATGTCCCCCTCTCCTCCGTCCGGGGTCACCTTGACCTCGCGCGAGGGGCTAGTCGCTGCTGCATGCTGCATCGGAAATAGACTCGCTGATGCATTGCCAGCCTTTGTTATGAGCGAAGGCGGGAGAGGCTCACATCGTTCCGAGTGCTTTACTCAGAGCTTTCTCCGCCTTCAGCAGAAATTCCGAAACCGCGCAGAGCAGCTGCAGCAACGGCATCAGCAGCAGCAGCAGGAAGAAGCAGCACGCGGCAGGTGGGCGAAGCCCCTGTACTGCCCGGACATCTACGGCGTCTCACCTGAGGCCACTGTGGAAGCACAAACAGGTGAGGGAGAAGGCGATCTAAACATTGACGGGGTCATATCCGCTCTCCTGGAGCGCAGCGGAGCTGCGGCTTCACCCTCACCCACAGCAGCAGCAGCGGAGACAACAACAACAGCAACAACAGCAGCGGCCTCAACAACGCCGGCAGGATTGACGGAACTCGACTCGAAGCAGTTTGCTGATGTGGAGCCTTTAAGCAATGAACAGCTGCTGCAACAGCTACGGCTGCAGCTTTCAGCTGCTCGTTACCTACAGCAAGGGGTCCCACCACCGCCTGACCTTATGCATGCGATAGCCTCGTCGCTTCCCAATGGAGTTAGAGAGGAAATGACAACAAGGCCTGTGGTTATGCTCCAGCTATCCAAACAGCTACGGGCCTACTCGCGTGAGCATGTACTCCAGCAGCTAGAAGAGCGCAAGCGACTGCTGGAGTAAGTTAATTTGCGTGCTCGTCAGGTTATATCTGTTGCCACCTCAGGTTCCTCTGCATTCGTTTCATGTTTGCCCCTTGTCTTCTTTTCCTTGTGCCATCACTCGACCCGTCTGTTGTATACCATCAGGGCACAAACTCTATGTGAACATTCCATGTTGCCATTTGTTGTGCGCAAACAGCCAGTTGCTGGCGGGGACCTGTGAGTCGAGCCGTGGGGAATCTCTGTTGATTTGGGGCTGCCTTAGGTGTCCTTTGGGTTGTACGTACAGTTGCGTTTTAAGTGACGATCCCAAAATACGAGAGCGTTTCGAGCATATCTGCAGCCTTCCTGACACTGTCCGACGGGTAACTACTGCCCAAACCATAGATCCTACACCCTGGCCTTTGCTTGCTATTCGATGTCCTCTTCCCCTTAGTTTGTTGATCTCTGTAGCTCTTCTTGTTGGTCTGCCTTTACGCATCTCTCTGTACCCCTGCTTTTTTTTGCTCTGTCCCTTTTGACTGCTTTGTTCATTGTGAACTCGCCAGAACTTAGATCTTCAAACACTTTTGCGCGATTGACCCATCGCAGACTTCTTTGGACAGTAGCGCAGCAGCAATATTAATTTGTGGCATCATCACATAGTCTCTTGTATGTTCAGGAGTCTTGATACATTTGCAGCTTTTCCCATGATTCGGCACACTTCGGCTGCACGCAAACCAGAGTGGCTGTAGTCTTTGTGTGTGTCCTGCTGCTGCAGCAAGCGTTGCTTGAGCGACGATTATGCAGTCTTTCTGCATTCCAGCAGCGACTACGACGGAATATTCTGCGTGAAGCGCAGCAACAGTCTCTCCCTTTGGCCGAGCTCCTGCTGGAGCCCCAAGCCCCTAGAAGTGTTCACGAGCAGGCCCTCTCCTGTGGCTGCTGCTGCATTAGCTGTTGCAAGGGCAGGCCTCCAAATGCTGCTGCGACATCAGCCGCCGTAACCGATGATGCACAGGCTTCAGCTGCAAGAGTGGCAGGAGGGGCAACGACAGGAGGGACGACGGCGGCAGGGGCAACGCCAGCAACAGCTACAGCAACAGCAGGACAACCAACTCCAACAACCACAACGGGGGCTACAGGAACTGCACTTCTCCCCCTCCCTGTTTCATGCTGCGGTTGCTGCTGTGACACCAGTTGTGCGTCCTTCGCGGCATCAACTGCCCCTTCTTCTGTTGCTAGCAGCTCCTTCTCTACTGCGCCTGCTGCATCGCAACAAGGGGCAGCAGCCCGTGCTGCATTATTTGCTGCTCTAGATCCCTTAGGACTAGCTGATGTAGAGGGTTCGGAGCTCGTTCAGAAGGCTCAAAGAGTGAGCTATTCCGACGACCAGAATCACTCCCTGGTCACGAAATTGCCAGACAAGGGGCGCTTGAGTTCAGACAAAGGTGCCTATCCATTCAAGCGTGCTTTTTGGAGCAGCTTGGCTTTCTGGCACAAGTGACGTGCAATACATGTGTGCATGGTGCATTTTTTTGACTATCTCAGTGAGTCTGCTTTTCTTTGTCCTAGGCTCGAGCTGTGGCTGCATCAGCTGTGCGCTCTGTTTTCTCGTCGGCGAACCTGCGTTGCTGTCTGTACACCCCAAACGAAAGAAGAGAGCAGCAGCTTCGCCTTGCGTGGGAGCGGGTGGTGCAGCAACAGGCTGGCTCTCTGCACAGACAATGGAGGAGACAACGTGAAGAGGCGGCAGCCTTGGCAGTGGAGGCAGCCTCACAAGTTGCACAGATAGAGCAAATGAAGCTTGTAATAAGAGAGAAGGAACAGAAAGAACGGTACGCCCGTGTCCTTCTGCTACAGTTTCAGCTTTCGCTGCACCTGGCCGCGGTTGCCCCGCCTCCATGTGTTGCTTGACAGTAGCAGAGGGGCTTCCAGTGATGGCGAAAGCATCAATCCAGCAGCAGCACCAGCCACAGCTACAGCACTACAGTTGTCGGTGGCAGGACCCACATATACACTAGCAAAAGCCGCATCAGCAGCAACACAAGCTACAGAGCCCATGGAATTACCGCTGGCGGCATCTGCTGCAGCCGTGGAGTCTGTTTCATATGCTGTTGGTTGCTCTAAGGATGCGCCTTTTGAAGGAAAATGATTTGGAGGCTTACACTAAACTTGTGAAGCAGACGAAAAATGAGAGGCTTCAAGAACTGCTGACTGCGACCGAAGAATTTCTGGAGTCTCTCGGAAGAAAAGTGCAGGTTCAAAAGATGGAGACGGACAAACTGTTGGCGCAGTCTCAGCCGTAAATGCACTACCCTTTTGGAGCACTAGTTCCAGCTTCTTTGACTTTTTATATTACCCCAGAAAAGTGGCAGCATAGCCTTGCTTCTCGAGTGCCCCTTTGGACTCTGTGCCGACGTATTCAGCTTTTTGGGCTGCACCTTTGCATTTTATGCTCAGGTCTGGGGACGGAGGCGACAGCACCACGACCGTTACAGAGGGACCGTGTGGTGGTAACAAGGGCTTAGGGTCTCGCGATCGCTACTACACGCTATCTCATGCAGTGCGGGAGGAAGTGCGACAACCAGAGTCTCTTGTTGGGGGCACTCTGATGCCTTACCAGATGGCGGGGCTGCAGTGGATGCTGTCTCTGTACAACAACAACCTTCATGGCATTTTGGGTGCGTTCTTGAGACTCCGCGCCTTCTGTGATGAGTGTGGAGTGTGTCAGTAGCTCAATTGAATTCATGCTCCTTGATTCTCTTAAGGAATATGGTTCTCTCTGGCGGACTGTGCCAGCATTCGGCTTTGTCTCCGCATACATACACACGCATGTTTGCAACTACACGCAAGTAATTACATGCGTATCCCTATACATTTGCATATATATACGCGCATAATCATATGTGCACAGCCGCTTGCCTTCACAGCTACGTACATGCAGGCATGTGTTCCCGAATACGTATGTGCAAGCAGATTCGGGCAAATGCACTCACATATTTGCTCACGTGCAGAGGCATAGGTTTACAAGATGCATGATGATGCATACGAATGCTCGCCGTCTACCTTACACTTGCACCAACTGCCGTTGCGCGTATCTGTCCGTGTATTTTCTTGCATTTTCCATGCGAATTCGCCGAGAAGTTGTAAAATTCTTTAGGCTTTCTTGCTCTAGCGCGTTACGTGCTACAGCTGCTGTTTCTTCTGCGCGGGTTCTTGCTGTTGCAGCTGATGAAATGGGTCTAGGTAAGACGATCCAGACGATAGCGCTACTGGCATATTTGAAGGAGTTTAAGAATAATGGAGGACCACATCTCATCATTGTTCCTCTCTCGACACTGTCCAACTGGGCAGACGAGTTCGAGCGGTGGGCACCCTCGCTGAAAGTGATGTTATTCAAGGTCAGCAGCATATACTAGTGCAATCAAACCACGAATAGAAAGTATAAACTCTCACGGCGCGTTTCAAACGTCCCCAGCTGCAAAGAGGCTTGAAAAGGGCCGGACACAAATTCTGAGGCACCGCGGAGTGAGCGGGTCAGAGAGTGAAGGCTAGCATTTAGGCTTCAGGTTTATGACTTTAAATCTTTGAGTTGCGGTTTTGTGATTGCCGTAGGGAGCCCGCCTCGAGCGTCGACAACTGCAGCGTCAACTGAAGCAGATCGACTTCAATGTCTGCTTAACTACGTTTGACTTAGCTATTAGGGAGAGGAGCGCCTTGGCCACTCCCAGTTGGAGGGTTAGTTCTGGAATCATTGCTTTTCTTCGTGGTATCTCCAGTATTGATTGCGGCTGCTGTGCTCGTGCTCGCCGCCTCTTCTGCCTTTGTGCCTTCTGCTGTTGCTGACTGTGTTCATCTTCCGTTGACTTACGGTGCACGTGGCAAAATATTTGCCTGCATCATCTCAACTCATGATAACCCTTGTCTGGCATCTTTTGGTCAGCACACTTCAGTCGCGAGTGTTGGTGCTGCAGCAGCACCAGCTGCTGCTGCAGCTACCAATATGTGTGCTGTGCTGCGCATGCTGTTCATGCTATCCGTGGCTTTTAATGCTTGGACACGGTATGGCTGTGGGCGCCTCTCAATTCTGATTCCGCACTGCAGCATTTGCGCGTTGCACGTATGCATCTCCCTTTCCTCCTAACTGTTTCTGCATATTCTCATCATTTCTCATGCATCAAACTGTTGGGTGCTGTGCCGCAGCACCTGGTGGTGGACGAAGGCCACCGCATGAAGAATAGCAAATCAAAATTTCACCTGTCCGTCTCCTCTTTTTCTGCCTCTCACCGTTTGCTGTTGACTGGCACTCCGCTCCAAAACAACCTAACAGAGTTATGGTCCCTTCTTAACTTTCTTCTCCCCAAGATCTTCTCCTGCGCAGAGGACTTCGAGAAGTAACGCAGCACGCTTCAATCAGAGTCATCTGACAGCCGCATACTTGTTTTCTGCGCATTTTCTGGTTTTTGCCTTGCTTACTTGCTCTTCGTCTTATTTTCCGCCAGTTTTCCAGGTTTATGTGGATTAGATCTACTTACGTTTGCTACTGCCCTTGCGCGAGCTTGCTTCTCTTCAACGCCTCTTCCGTTTCCTTGTCTTCTCTTCCTATGTGTATGTGTCTACCCCTCTGTCCTTCTTCGTTTTTCACCGTGTTTCTCACGGTGTTATTTTGGGTCTCCCTGCATGTGCTGCAGGTGGTTTAGTCAGCCCTTTGAAGTGCATGGAATGAGTGTGGAGGGGACACCTGATGGGGGTTCGAGTGGGGGTTCTCTGTTGAACGAGGAGGAACAGCTGCTGGTTATCAACCGTCTGCATGCAGTGCTAAGGCCTTTTTTGTTGCGGCGAGTTAAGAAAGATGTGCTAAAAGATATGCCGGACAAGAAGGAGTACTTGGTACACATTCCGCTTACAGAATGGCAGAGGCTCGTCTACAAAAACCTGCAGGACAAGGGACTTAGGTTCGATATAAAAACCCTAGCTTCTAATCCCCCAATGAAGCTCAGATCAGATTTCCTTAAGCCACTGAGCCATGCGTCGCAAAGCCGTAAACTTAGAGATATACACATTGGCTATGCCAGGGATTACGCTGACCTTCGTTATGTGAAACGTTCAGGATTTATTGTTTAGGGTTCGGGTTCTTTTCGGTGTTTGCGCAGCTATGCTCGGGAGTTTTTTAGCAAGCGTAGCCTGCACAATACATTAATGCAGCTACGAAAAATTGCGAACCATCCGTACCTGTTTGTGGATGAGTATGCACTTGACGAGACACTGGTGACATCATCTGGGAAGTTTGAGTGTCTGGACAGGATGCTGCCTAAGCTGATCCACTTCAAACACAAAACTTTAATATTTTCTCAAATGACGCAAGTCCTTGACTTGATGGCCGATTACTTAGACATGAGGGGTATCAAACACGAGAGGCTTGACGGCTCCGTGGGCTTGCAGGAGAGGTCAGGTTGAAACAGTTTGTAACCTTAAATCTAAAAGTCAGCGCTGCCGCGTTTGCTGAGCTTCAAGTTCCGCATGCATGATAGTTTTGGCTCGGTGGCACTTGTATACACGGAAAACGGAGGGATTTGATTCATGATTTAGTGTTAAGGCAAGGAGTGTATATTGCGAGATGTCAAGTGGAATGTAGGCCGTGCTCGCGGTTTTTGGCATCATGTGCCAATTGTTCAGCGCCCAACATCCGTAGTTAAAATGTGCCTGCTGTGGGATTCTTTGAGGTGTATGCTTCTGTTCACGTAACCATCAGCCCTGATCCTTTTCTCAACTTGATTCTTAGCCTGTCTTCATTGCTCGGTGTATTATTTTTTGCCTAAGGAGTGGCCATTCTCTGTATGAGTTTTCCGTTTCTTTTTGCTGCATATATGAGGCTTTTCCCCTCTCTTGTTTTCCTCGGTGTTTCCTCAGGAAAGAACGCATCGACTCTTTTAACCAAAAGAACGAAGATGCGATGGTTTTTATGCTATCGACCAGGCAAGAAAACCCCACAAATAGAGCAGCATCCGTCTACTCCAGCCAGAGACAGCAACAGCAGAGGGAGAAACACCAGCAAAAACAACAGCAGCAAAAGCAGCAATAACGACAGCAGAAGCGGTTCCAGCAATAGCTGCAGCAGCAGCTGTAGCAACAGCTGTTGCCACTAGAGTATGACAGCGCCTACTCTACCTTGTTGCTGGCCATTCTACAACTGCATCAATGTGCCTGAAAAATAGATATAGACCGCATGAGCCTCGCATTTATACAACATGTGCGCATCTGGATAACCATAGTGGCCCCCACAGCACATGTGTCCGCAACGCAGGAAATCTACATGCGAGCACATGAAAGTCTACTCGCGCACGCCTGTCATTATCTGTGCATGAGCAGTATTACACATAAGGACATGTAAACATGCGTAGACTTAATCTCCTCTCACCATGCACATTTACTAGAGATGTTACACATAACCATTTTGCCACTGATAGCCTTCACAAAAATATAAGAGAAGTTGACTGATGATAAGTACCTGTATTTATGAATAATATACATATATATTAAATTTCTGTAGCTCTGTTGGTCTTTGACGTGCTTCCAAGGGGGCATGATGACAATTTTACAAGTGAGCTCGGTGTATTTGTGACTTTTTCAAGGGCCATTGTTGGTGGTGTGCAGAAAGGCTGTCTGGTGTCTTTATGCGACGCAGGGCGGGAGGGCTGGGCCTGAACCTACAGGCTGCAGACACTGTAATTTTGTTTGACTCGGACTTCAATCCTCACCAAGACCTGCAGGCCATGTGCAGAGCTCACAGGGTGGGGCAGACGAAGCAGGTCAAGTAAGCTTCCTCCGTTTGTCTTTTGTTAGTGCAAAGCTGTCGAGACCTGAAGCGAGAAAAGGCTCCCCCTTCCAGTTGTTGCCCCTATATGCCGCGCTCTTTGTTTCAGCTAGTTTTCTTTCATTCCTGTCTGCTTCTGAATTTTGTCTATCGCCTCTGGAGACACAGCTCCTCTCTTTTGGCCACTGTGCATCTCGGCATGAAATTCTTCGTTGCCCTTCTCACTAAGAGGCGTTCGCCTTTTCCTGCGCTTCTCAATTTTGCGGGGCAGCGTCTTTCCCCCCCTTTTTTTTAAGTCCCCCCCTCATTACTGAATCGGGTGTATTTTTCTGCTGCAGATGCATTCATGCATTTACAGCTGAGAGCGCCGTGTCATTAAGAGGACTAAATCCACATGTAATGCCTGTGTTCTTTCTATCCGTATCTGCTGTTTGATTCCTTTAGTTTCTTCGCACAATTCTGCCTTTCTTTGAATCTTTGGCTTCTCTTAGGGTATTTCGACTTGTGACAATCAGTGGCGTAGAAGAAGTTATTCTCCAGAGGGCCAACAAAAAACTGTCCATTGACCAAAAGGTGCGCAAAACCGCAGGTTACGTGATCGAGTTTCAATGCCTATGGTTGAGCGATCGAGCTTCAGAACCTGTAGACTAGGCTTTCAACTTCAAGAATTTAAGCATTACATTTTTTGAGGTATATGCATCCTTCAGGTGATTCAAGCAGGGATGTTTGATAACAAATCCAGCGAAGACACCCGAGAAGAGAAACTGCGGCTGCTGCTGCTACTGGGCAAAAGCACAGGGACGGACGCTAAGGCGACGACACCTTTGCAGGTGCAGATATTGCAGCTTAGGCCTTAACGTTTTGTGGCGATACATGGAGATTGTGCTGCAAGCTTCCTCTCGAGCCGTCCTTGAACAGCCGCTCCATTTCTGGTGGCGATTCCCTCATCAGGTGTTTTGTAATTTTTTAGCTTGTCTAGTGTCTTCTGGAGCTAGAGCTGCAGGCATATGGTTTTAGGTGCCTAGGGTGTGTCTGCAGCTCAACCGGATTTTAAGTCGATCTGAGGAAGAATTTGAGTGGTTCAACGAATATGACAAGAAGCTGTTGGGCGTAGACGGCGATGGGCTCTGTCTTGGTGCAGACCGCAATGGGTCCTTCTCAGAGCAGCAGGCCCTTTACGAGCCGCCTTTGGACGAGGAAGAGGAAGAAGCACCTCAAAACCTGCAGGACCAACCTCAGAAGCATCAACAGGAGTTGCAGCAGCAACAGCAACAGCAGCAGGAACAGCAACAACAGCACGGCACTGCCACGCCTATGACAGCAGAGGGAGAAGAGGAAGTCAAAAATTTTTTAGAGGAAAAAGGGAGAATTATAAAAGCGAAGGAGCTGCCTGACTGGGTACTAGCTGCTGCTGCTGCAGCTGAAGCAGCAGCAGCCGCAGACGCAGCGGCAGCGGCAGAGGTAGCAGCGGAAGCCGAGGCTGCAGCAGCTGGGGACTTAGAGGGAGCAGAGACAAGTTGGTTAGTCACCTCCCGCAAGCGGCGAAACATATCCAGGCCAAACTACACCGATGGGCTTTCAGAATCTAAGTACCTGAAGCTAGTTGACAAATATGAGAACGGGGAATTGGCCGAAGAGGACTTTCAAGAGGCCTTGGCGAAGGCGACAGAGAAAGCAGCCACACGGAGGCGACAGAAACCCTCGCCGGCTGCAAGCACGACAGGAGGAGTGCAAGGGGGCAACCAAGGGGGGGCCTTAACCAGCAAGAGAAAACCAAGGAGAAGTCGGCTCACCAGGGGCACTGAACTTTCACAGGAAACTGCGACAAACAGCAACGATGCCACTCCGCAGCACGCACAGGAAAACGACGATCAGCAGCAGCACAAGCAGCAGCAAAGAATGGAAATGGAAATGGAAGAGTCCCCCGCAGAACAGAGTCAAGATCTTGATGCCGCTTCATGAGCCAGCAGAAATAGTTCCCCATCTAGCAAGCTGCTATGGGGCTCGTTGGTTAGTGAACTAATGCTCCAGCGTGCCAGACAGTTGTTAAAAGCTTACACGCTTTGGATGTGCAGGCCTGCGGCGCTACTACTGTTCTAGGGGAGGATTCATCGGCTTCCTATTGCTGACTGCGTATCTGACAAGCTGGTTCTTTAGTAGGGAAATGTACAGCAGTTGGGCTTGCCTTTCCGGTTGTTTGGCTTATCTGCTTTCGACGCAACGTGTCCGCAAGGCCTTCTTTATTCAGAAGTATGTCTGCTATGGATCTGCTTGCTGCCACGCGGCGGCAAATAATGGCATCAGGAGGACGGCAGAATACTAGTATGTATCAGTATTTAGGTGCGAAGAGCTTCCAAAGCAAATAAGTGGCAACCTCAGACCCAGTTAGGGAATATTAGCCTTGAAAGCGGAGTTCGCCACCTCCGTCAATCGTCAGGGCACTTTTGTGTGTACCCATGACTTCCTGGCCAGCTTCCCTTCGTTAGCTGCAGCGTGCTAGCTGTAGCACCTGTGCTTAGGTGAGCTAGGCAGCAGCGACACTGTTGCCTATTGTGCCGTCAGGCTCGTTGGATATTTACAGACAGGTGAAACAATGGGGTCCTTCCAGCCTCAGCCCAACTAAGGTAATACAGGCAGCAGCAGTTGTTTTGGCTATTCAAAGGATGGCATGCTTGACGTGACACAGCATTCTGGAAATGTGTTATTTCACATTGCAATCGTAGCATTTTCACTTGTGTAGATTTCGTTCGTATAGAATCGAAGAGCACATCCAGCGACGTATTATGTCTGAGAGATGTAGATGTTTAAGGAGAGCATGAGCAGGAAGACGCATTGGCACAACGCTTGAGCAAGGAGAAAGGAACGCGCCTATAAGAAACACGAAGAAAATGAAGCACAACAGTACAGATGAGTAAGCTATAGCTGGCGACTTACGGATTAAAGATGTGCCCCGCGTACGCAGCATCCCTCTCAGCATGCTGACTGATGATGCTGCATTAGCGAGTGCTGATGGATTATGAGCTTCCGCTATTTGCGTGGAATTCTGGGCCATGTGATGAATGCATTATTGCGTGTCGAAGCTATGTAGAACAGCGAAGATGAAACTAGCAATTAGGCAGGCCATATCCCAAAACACACGACGAAAGAAAATTAGATTGGGACGACGACACAAGGCACAAACAGACCAAGCGAAAAATGCAGAGCTGGCGCTACATAAAAATGCTGGTTCGATTCACTGTCACAACAAAGGCATCCCGAACCTCAGGCTCTTGTTCTTTAGGCAAATCGGTTCACAGAAAATATAATAGGACAAACTTCATATTCAGAGTTACACAAGCTATTGGAGCCCAAGGGCCGCATGAAACAACCTGAAGAGAAACTTCAGCAGATGCCAACTAATCATTTATTGAGTTGGGATACTGTTGTTGATCATGAACTGCATTGCCTGGGCTGGCGCACAGCGCTTTATGCATGAATGTATACCAACTAATCGTTTACTTTGGGATACGTCTCTTCACTACCTCATTGTGTATTGACTATGGACTGCATTTCCTTGGCTCGCTGACGCAGTGCTTAGTGCATGATTTATTTGAGTTCATCACTACTATTCCAGGATCCAGCGTTAGCTTCTGGCTACCCAATACGAAATGTTGCAGTACATTCCAGTTAATTCGGTGGGCTTGTAGCACTATCGGAACGTAGAAAAGATTGTGCCTACGCAAGATGCAAACTCTTAATCAAAAGCGCACGTGCAGTGGAGGTTCTTATGAATCTGACATTTTCCTGAGTTGCAAAGGAAACATGCCTAACAATGAAGTACTCGAGAAATAGAGTTAGAATGGACTCGTCACAGCACTTGGTTGGACTGAAAAGCCAATCGTCAGATCAGCTGGAAAGCCCAAAAGTGGAGGGACAAGCTGACAACCATGAAGTTGTTGAGGGAAGTTAAATGAAAATGCATGCCGTTAGAAGCGGAGGAGAAGCATTGGAAAACTAACCACAGCATTGATAGACACACGCACAACTCAAAGCAGCAGCTGTCAATAAAACATTAATTCAAGACGTGAGTCAGTTCAAATTGAATTATACTGTACGATGCAGCAAATTCCAAGGTGCTGGGTTTTTGGTGTGTTCATTTAGCTGAATATACTGATGTGTCAAGCAGTGGTCGTTACCCCTGTATTATGATTCACCCCCCTTTACTGTTGGGCACGTAGGTATTGTATACGTGTGTGCTTATACTGAAAATCAGTAGAATATGTCGAAAATATAGATGTCTAACACAGGCTATCGGACGCATCTAAAACAAAACCAACAAGAATAATGCAGTTTCTACCATGCAGTCAAATGGATGACGGGAAGCATCCCTAATTTGTCAGTGGGACTTTGTGTTACTATGCAAGGCTACGGTGAATTTTCCGTGTTTGTTGATAGTCTAAATTCATTAGAATATCTTATGCATACAAAAATGGTTGTATCTATTGTGGGTTTCCTTTTGTTAATATCCGTATTATCCTGGTTTCCTTTAGTTAGTATCGAGCAAGCTCGTACAGCGTAATTTATTATCCTGTACAATATTTACGGATAGAAACGCCATGATCGAACTTCGCTTCCCTGGCGGGCTCTGCCAATGCTTTTAATTGGGGGAAATAAATCTAGTTGATATCATTCTCTGGGTGACGGAAAGGACAGAGCGAGCCGATAGGACTAAAGAGCATATCATATGCGATTTCACTCAAAGCCGTGAGTGCTATCACCACTTGCGCTTCCACTTAAAGCTAGGTGCCCCTTCATGTAGTACTTTTGGCTTTCTGACGTTGAACTAATAAATATCCCACCAATGGCCAGATTTTGAATCTGGTTAAATGACCCCATCAAGGAGTACGTCTCTGGCACAGATCACTGGAGTTTTACTCGAAAGAGAACATCACTTCAAAAAATGGAAAAAAATAGCGTAAACTGAATTTGGAAGAAGGACTCATGCTGCGCAACCCGGAGCCACAGGTCGCCCGCTCCCAATGGCTTCGGATGCTCCGCATATCAGGCTTTTGGTGGCTAGTCCTCGTATTTTCCAGCCTGAGCCTGCTAGCCCTTAACCCTGTACAGTAAGCCTCTGCTGGCCAGCTGCTTAAATTAGTCGTCACTTGTGGGTTATGCTTGAGCTCAGCAAGGGTCTACAGAGGGCGGCAGGCTCTGTTCCTGGCTTGGATGCTGCAATGGGCGTTTTCTTGCAGCGGCACGGCGGTACCTTACACGCAGTCTGAGGCTAGGGAGTAGTGGACTGAGTTGCACTGCAGAACATGTGTCAGACCGAAGCACTCTTGCGGCGAAAGGAGAGTAGTTATCTCTAAAAAATTATTAGGGCAGGGTCTCGCCCGTGCGCGGTAGCTCGTGCCGCAACTGTACGGGGTCCTAGCACAGTTCCAAAACTGAGTACATGAATGACTTTGGTTTCCAGGAGCAGCGAGGAATAGCCAGTAAATTGACCTAGTGAGAAGCACACCCATGGCGGGAGCTTTTGAGCCGAAGTGTGCGACTGCATGAATCTGCCAAGGAACAGCCGTGAGCAAGCAACCCTGTCTGGCAGTATCCACCTCTTCAGAACACGGCAGATGCCAGCAGGAGGTTTGAAAAGACTTGCGCGGTATGCAAAGATATCACGGAAAAACTTTGTGTCAAAAGAAATAGGGTAGCGACAACGCGCGTAAAGGGAAGTCATGTACGTTGGAAAAGTGGGAAGGGTACGTGGGTCGGCCAGCTCCCTATTTATCAAGGCTCCGGAAAGGCGAATTCTAAATATTAGTGCCTCCCCCCCACTGCTTGTTCAGGTGCTTTTGCCGCAGCACGCGGACGAAAATAGTGTCGGTTGAATTTCAGGGGCAACACAGACAATCCAAGAAGCTCATTGATGGGGTGCGGCACGATTCCGTCCGAATGCATGCTGTGCGCTACCCCCCAGCGCACCTGGTGAGTGGAAAAGACAAGCCCCGCGCTGTAGAAGGCCACAATATCTAGTCATGAGTAGGTTCTCATCCTAGTATGTTGCGTTAGCGACACTTGCTGTATTGTTCGCCCCAGCGAAGCGCTTTTTTTCCCATACCCACCCACGGAAAATTCAGCTTGTGACAATATCTGGACCACGACGACTGTGGGTCAAAGTCGTCTCAAGGAAGACCCGAAGAGGGTTCTGTTGGGGTACTTCCATCTCAGTTCTGTTCCGACATTTTCTTCGAAACAGTCTTGTTCCTACCGAAGTGCTGAGTTACCAATGTAACAAACCCAAACAAACGCTAGCCCCTAGCTACGCCAATGTGGTGATCGTATAAGGTTACAACAGCATAGCTCTACTGGAGTATTCCGCAACATTGTACTAATTAATAAGCGGGCTTCAGAGGCATGCCACTGTGTACCGAAAGAGCATAGCTAGGATTACTTTGTGCTTCCAAACCAAAACCCCTACAGTACACTGTAGTGTGCTATACGTGTTTTGGTTCGATAGCACATGGGCGATCCTAGCTACGCTATTTCAGTCAGTATACTACTGCATACTACAGTATACTCCAGGCCTTTCGGCTCGGTAGCAGCAGAGCAATCGTTCCTGCATTATTTCTATGTTAGCATTGTGCAGCACCACACACAATGTTGCGCAGAAACAGCCTTCGAAGAATGTACAATTCGAAACAACACACATTAGTGTTCATTAAAAAGTAAATAAAGAAACCCGTTACTTCCCAGCAAACCAAGCCTATGGTTTAGAGTCAACTAACTCTCGGGCTGGGGCTGCCATTTGTCACAAGAACTCTAGGGAAAACGGCAAAACTTCCCACAGTCGTGTTTTGTGGCTAAGCATGAAATTTCATATGATATCTCGTAGTCAGGTTCTATACTCAACGAATTCTCTAACGTGGCAGATATAACAAACTGCCTCAATACGTTGTTAACCCAGCTCACGTACCACGTAACAGGTGAAATCTCATTCCTAATTGAGCCTTGTTCAAGCACAAGGGTGTGATGTGCCGACATTGAGGCTCTTTTTGGAATTAAACGATAAGGACTGAACTGCCGGCATAGATAAAGTTTCATTATCTCCCGTTTTATCTTTGTATGGATTCCACAGTCAACCCCTTTTTCATATGATTAAAGAATACAAAACACGGACAATATCAATTGTACCAGCACACTGTGCGCAGATAAGCTACAGAATATGATTACAGGATATAAAATAAGGACCTTACCAATTGTAACGCGCACTATGTGCAGATAAGTTACACAATCAGCACAATCAGGTATTCAATATTGGAAGCTCCTTCGCAAAAGACGTCGACAAAATGCTGAATGACAGTACAGTTCACCGAACGCTCGGAAATGGAGAGTCGGATGTATTTCGAGTAAAGATATTGAAGACATTGGACGTATAGCCGAATATAAACTGTTGGAAGTAGGAGAAACTACAGATTAACCAACAACTGTACCAACAGACAATGCAAAATGGAAGTGGGCAACTACATAATATGTATTATACTGATCAAAATCTAAAGTAGTCCCAACTATTGACAGATGATGCGAAACCATATATATCGGAACCAAATGCACTTGAATCTCTATGCCATTCGAACGGGATTCAAAGTGCTAATTGACTAAATTTGCTGTTCCTCATCTTCGATTGCCGTTGAGCTTAGTGCAATACTTCGTTCGCCACAGATCCACAAGCGTTGAAGCAGCGATCTCGCAAGAGGTCTGTACCAGCCGCATCTGTTTGCTTTCCGTAAGGGCATATAGACTCTTTCCTCCTTCGGCATGTTTAGAAGGAAAACATGGAACTCCCTTGTTCCTCTACTGACTACAATAGCCTGGAAAATACATTTCGTTGCGGCAGATCCATACAGAGAAGCGATGACTTGAGTAGTCTGCATATTCAATATACATTTATACTCCGAAAATTTTCCCCCTTGCATTAAATTTATTGTACCTTTCACTGTAGCAAGTGTATAGCCTAGAGGAAAAGGGTCCTGAAAACTTGAAGTTTTCATTCCTTCCTCTATATTTCATAAAAAACAACGGCAGACTATAAAAATATTTTACGTTGAATAGCGCTCGTTGCGGGACTTAACGCAACATCTCACGACACGGGCTGACAACCATGCGTCTCATGTACCTGAATATATTTATGAAAATTTACTACAAAGTTAAAAAACAATATTTCAAGCTCTGGTAAGGTTCTTCATGTTGCATCGAATTAGACCACATGCTCCATCGCTTGTGCGAGCCTCTTCCAATTCCCTTAAGTTTCACCCTTGCGAGTGCACTACATGATCGACGATACAAACTTTGCTTGGCAAGGCTCAATTGCGTCCGCTATTGCCTTAGCGCATACGCTGCAACAGGCTCTTGCAAATTCTTCGAGACCCTGTTTGCGGGTAAACGGCCAGTTCGTGGGCTGGACGCAGCAGGCCTGTTCATCAAAGTCGATGACAATGGGTCCGAAGGTTTCTGAACAGCCGTTCTGTGGTAGAACTTCTCCACTGAACGTGTAAGATGACCGAGATACAGAGACCCAGCGACGTCCCGTAAGGCTCTATACACACACAGCACGTACAACCACAATACCAGTGCCCCACAGAAGCCAGCAAGGCCATCCGTGCATCTGCTCGTGCTAAAGCCCGCCAGAGAGCGTCCACAGGCCACTACGAGTGGCAAAGTGAGGTCCGATAGGAAGTCGGGTGCCGCACTGCTTATGTTTGCACAGCAGGCTCGTGCAGGACGTAAGTGTTGTACTAGTCGCACCATTTGCTGCTCTCTTTGGAAATTTGTAAGATTGGCCTCCGTTTTTAGGAAAATTTTGTCTCCTTTGGAGACATATATTTCCCTTCCGAGAAGCACCACGTTTGTATAACAGCTGTCGCACTGCCCCTCGTAAACTGGGCCAAAAGACAAACCCTCCAACACTTATGAAAATACCAGACAATGCAATGCCTTGGTGGCGGTTTCAGCAGAAATTCGCCGCGCTGCCACGGGAAACAACTTTGAGTAACATCTGAAGACACGGAGCCGCTACAACTCTGATTCTTCTACTCCAGCTTGACAAGGGCGCGAGGCATTTACGCCTATTTGTTGTACGAATGTGCTCGCAAAGTGATAAACCCCGGAGTTAAGCTGAAAAGGTGGAAAAAGAACTTGCAGGAACACCATTGTGGACAAACGAGAAATACACAGGACAACGGTAGATCAGACCTGTGCAGGGGCGGTGACTCTACTACAGAAGCTGCTCACCAACAACCCCACGAAAGGCAGTACCTGATGCCACCAGCCTAAAGAACATGCTGCAGCTCACTTCTACGGCATCGACCTGGGCAGCGCCTTGCTGCACAGCAAGAAGAGATAAAAGCGCCAGGGGACCGCAGCCGATTTCCAAAATACGAAGCCCAGTGACATGACTGTGGAGCTTTTGCTGGAGTCGCTGCGGCTGTTGCTGCTGCTGTGCTTTCAAGTTGGGCGACTCTTGAAGACTCTCGTGTGGCCCCTCCTCTTGCAAGTGCTTCTTTTGCTCCTGCTCCTTCAGCGTCGTGGGCATCTTCCAGAGAATCGCCTGTTTGTAGAATCTGACTCCGTCTTCACAGTCGATCGCACAGACAAAGGGATGCGCCGAGTGCGAGCAGCTAGAAAAGTCAAGCGCCATCATAGAAGAAGCTACTTCTGATGACAAAAGTGCCTGTTTAGATAAAAGCTTAGCACCATCTGCCCTCAAAAGTTGGTGCAAGCGCATTTTCAGGCAGCGCTGGTTCGTACTAAATGGTTAGGAATGCCAAATCGCCCACAGATGGAGGCCGTAGCGGGTGGCACCTTCTGCATGGACGATCGCCGAACAAATCCTCCCTCAATAAGCTTGCCAATTTTTTCCTGAAGCAAATGCAACAAGCGGCGCCGCCCAGAGGCACAAAAAGGCGCAAAGGATCATACATGGGCCGCAGGAGGCAAACGTCCCAAAGGCTAAGCGGCTTACGCTGCATCAGACAGCACGACGTCGTTAGCACTAGCTACCTTGATGGCATCTGCCGAAACAGTACCAGAACTGCGAACAGCAGCACCCTACAGCATATGTAAGAGACGGTTGCCATCTCGTATGGTTCTCGTGAGAGACGCGACGAGCTGTTAGCTCCCGTGGGGTGCTCTTGTTGCTTCAGCAGCAATTCCAGCAGCCAATAATCGTCGTTCTTCCGCAGCAGCCGCAGCAATATTTAAAGGATCATCCATGTTTCCACACGCTGCTTCAGCAGCAGCAGCTTCGGCCCGTTGTCTTGATGTACAAAACCCTCCGTTGTAAGCTGGGCGCCCCCAATCTCAACAGAAACTACCACATCGCTGCAGGTGGCGCTACTCTTGCATGCTTCACAGGCACTGCTCCCTTCGTCGATATTGCTGTTGCCCCGAAGACAAACGGAAAAGCTTTTTGGAGTTGCTGCGTTGGCGACAGCTCCTTGAATTATTGAGATATCGTCGACAGAAGCCCGTAGTGATGATCCTCCCCAAGCAACAACAGACGTACGCCATAGAAGAAAAGCCGCGACATCAGATCTGCACCGTTCGGCACTTAGTGGCGCCGCATCACCAACGTCAGGAGAAAACACTTATCCCCACTTCAGAAATGCATCGCACAAACCTGACAGTGAGACAAGGCACCCGAACTAGCCAGCGGAGATGCTGCGCCTCACTGTGCTTGAGATGCGTCCGCATTCTGTGATGTGGGCTCCGCTGTGCTGAGCTTCCTTGCAGCTGCCTGTTACCCCTTTAGCCGTTGCTTTTCGCGAAGGTGCCTTTAGGGTGGCGGGGCCTGCTGGCGCTGAAGCACGCTCAAACTGTGCCACTCTTCTGCCTGGATGCAGTTGCAAAGCACTTACGTTCCTGTTGCTGCAACCTCTGCCGTCGTCACTGCAGCACCCTGTGCTTTTCTGCGTACGCTTTGCGCAGACTTCACGGTAGCCGCGCCTTCTGCAATTTCCTTTCGAATAACCACTGTGTTAAAATTAAGATCTACGCGAATGAACATTGCTATTGCTGCTAGCGCTGTTAGTGGCGCTTTGTCTCTAATGATGTCTTCATGGATGCCATCCCATTAATAATTACAACAACCTTAGGCTGCTCGCTGATTTTTGCAGTAGAGCGTGAAAAAAGCCACCATTTGCACCCGAATCCTCGAAATGCTCAAGGTGTTCCACAGTTGCGCTGCTGATGCTGTAGACTCATGTGGATGTGGCCTCCCGAGGCCCAGCTCTCCCTACAAGCCCTGATTTGTCCTACTAGCTGGAGAGAAGGAAACGTGTAGGCCGTTTCGTTAAGATTCAGCTGTTACTGATGGCCAGTGTTCCCCGGTGTAGATGGAAAATTCGCCGCCGACGTGGCTATGGGTGCCCCCACTGTTACTCCTCGCACTCGTCTCGATGTTACCGTGACGCTTTTCTTGAATCGAAGGTCTTCTTTAAGTAGTGGCTTTATATATACTTTTATGTGGCACTATTGGATGCTAGCATGCCACTGCTGGCGTAGCACTTACCTGGCTTCTTACCGGCTTCCCAGGTGAAGCTACCGCCGAGGATGCTTGGACGCAGTCAACGAACAGCCCCACAGAAAAATAATCCCACGCAGGAGGAGACTAGTGAAACTACTGGAAGAAACAGCCTCATGATTGCGAGTGTGCCATACGTTCAACAAGTTAGCGAGTCTGCCCGCGAGAAAAATATTGGGGCCGCCCAACCGCACAGCAGCGGTAGTAGTCGCAACAGAAACATGTATAGTCGTCTCGGCATACTTAGCTTCCAGGGGGGTTGATTTATATGCTTTATCTGGAAACCGTATTTGCATGGCTGCGGCAGTACATGTGCAGCTGGGAACAGCATCTGGAACTGTCTTGAAACAGTTGCATGCAACAACTACGGGTGAATTCTTTGCTCCTGTCGAGGCACTTTTGACATTTCGCTACAATGAGATCAAAATAAAGCCGTTGGAGTGTCCCTATAAACGCTGGAAAGGAGGAGTGTTTCGACGCGTCATGCGTGACGTAGCAAAGGGTTACAGCCGTTCAGCAGCAACACTTCATTGCCAACTGGGCAGCATCAACTGCTGCCAATGCAGCTAAATGCACTGCTGTGTGACAGCAGTCAAGAAACGCTGCAGAGCAGCAGCCGCAGTACTCTGAAGAAGAAGCCGTGCTCGCACCAACGCATTGCCTTTTTGCTACTGCTGACAAGTTGCATGTCCGGAACCTTCGTTTGTGCTATTTCAGGAGGGCAACAGACTTTTGAGGAAACCAGTTTAAATATCTGGTCACAGAACCAGCAGCAGGAGAAAGGGGGACTGCCACAGCTTCAACAACAAAAACAGCAACAGCTGCAGTGGTCGTGCGCTGCTACCCCGTGGGTGGTTCTCAGTGGAGGCGAAACGACGTCACGAAGAGTACCTGTTTCAGAGGGAGCATACTTTGTACCAAATGCGACAGTGAGTCTGACAGGCCCAACAGAGCACGGAGGGGACTGCAAGGCGCGCCAGCCTGTGGAAGCGGCAGCCGCACCTGCTGCTTCGGACACACAAGAAGAAGAGGCTATACCTCAAAGTGGGGGCAGACTGACACGTTCTTCACAAGATGCAGTCGTCACCACGACTGGCGTCGTCACGTTCTATACGGAGCAGCTGCACGAGCAGCACGAGCGGCAGGAGCAAACACTGCAACAGCAGCAGGTTCAAACTCCGCAAACGAACAGCGAGGCTCCAGGTTTCTTCTCTAGATTTAAAGGGCTGGAAGGTACTGCTGATGCTAACGCTATTGTTGCCTGGGGGAAGGGGCTCAATGCAACGCATAACACAGGACCATTTAAGTCAAAGCCCTCGCGGCAAAAGCAACACCTGCAAAGACTACAGCACTCTTTGCTATTTCCCTCGCCATATAGCTTCGCGGCCTCCACTTCTAGCGAGCATTCCCGCTACATTTTAGCCGATGCAGCTACGGAGGCAGCATCAGAAGGCACAGAAGCACCACCACGTCGTGAGGGGCACGAAGGAGCAGAGGTAATGTTGTCTGCGAAGCTACAACAAAGGCGGCACAATCTTCATGGACTTGTGCCTACTGCTGCGTGCAGCTGGGGCCTATCTGCCATGTGGCTTATTCAGTGGTGCTACTCTTTACGCACATCTATCGTACCAGCAGCCATAGCTACAACATCAACGGAACAGGGCACAGCAAGCGCAGCCTCGGTAGCCAGGTGCTCGTGTGTCAGTTCACACATGCCTGTGCTGTTGCGCAGTGATCCCCTCTGGCAACAGGAACAACAGCACCAGCAACGGGAGCAGCGGGAAGTGGCAGCGCGTCTTGTACCCGTGTTGCAGCAGCGGACGTTGCTGCTCTGTTGCACAGAGGGCAGTCCTGCTTCACAGGGAAAACAGCAACTGCAGCTGCGTAGCGTGTTCTCACGAGGTGATACTGAAGAGCATACAGGAGCAGTCGCATCAGCACCAGCTGTGGCTGCACTTTTTGAGGAGACGCAAGCTCGCAGTCGGCAGACGGAGCCGGTAACGGCATCAGCTGACGAGGCCTCTCCACCTCGTGGAACTATGGACGCTGCAGGAGCTGCTGGTTTTAGTGAGCCAATTCCAGTACCTGGTTCTGATTCCCATGTTAAAAGCCTGCCATCAGCGTCTGGAGGAGGACAGCAGCAAGCGGAACTGCGAAAAGAACAGGCCGAGTACATGGGTGCATTTTCAGGGTCTAATGAGGCCCGCAGAGAGCGGGGGCAGAAATTTAAAGCACAAGAGGAGTTACAGGGGAAAATGCAGCGCAGCGAGCAGGAAGGGGACCAGAAACATTTGGAACTCTTTTCAAGGTGGGGAGGACAGCTTGTTTCTTGGACATGGAGGCGTTCCTGCATGCGACAGCAGCAGTCTCCAAGGCCCGAAGTAGCAGTTACAGAATCATCAGGAGTAGCCGCTGCTGCTCATTGCTACAGGCCCCATACTTCGACATCACTGGCGCTGCAGTTGTTGCTGTTGCTGTTGCCTCGCGACATGGTCTTGCGCCTCCTTGCTGACCGAGACCTCATGCATTGCCAGCAGCCCCTACCACAGCAACAACGGGCGCAAAAAGAGCAATCTCAAAGTTGCAAGAAACAAGTAGATCTACCCCGTGTTAGTGTTTCGAGTCCTGCGGCACGAACGGCTTCCAAAATGGGCAGCTGCACTGCTTCGATGGTGCATTCAAATGGTGATTTCAAGAGTAGGGAGACATGCGACGCGCGCCTTTCGAACGGCGGGTCTTCCTATGCTTTAAAGGCAGTGAGAATGGCCGGCAGCCACGGACACGAGCACCAACTAGACCCTTTAAAATTGTCCAAGTTCTATGGGGGCGTGCCCTCTCAGCAGTCATCGGGGGATCCCTACAGTCAACTGGTCCCGCGGCAGCAGTTCCTCCAAAATGAGAGCCAGCGTAACACAGACACAAGCACAGCTTCGCAGCAGGAGGAGGAACGCTGGCAGAAACTGCAAGAACAACAAAATGCAGCACCGCAAGAACAGCGGCAGCAAGAACAGCAGCAGCAACAACTGCGAGAAAGCGAGGTTCAGGAAAAGCAAGACAGTCATAGCGCTGCGTCACTAGCAACTGCTACCGTGAAGCAGCATACATATGTGGATGCACAGGGAGCGTCATCTGCAGTTGGGGGTGTTCCGGGGACACCTCGGCTCTATGGCCGGGGATTCGTGCAAGGTGGTCAGCTCCCTGCGTCCTTTCTGCGCTTACACTTTAATTTCGCGTCACTTGATGCCGGCGCTCGGATTATCGCTTCTAGTGGCGGGATGCAGCACATCAAAGCGGTCCAGGTGAGACTCCTGCGTGAGAAACAGCTGGCTCCTGCCTATTTGTTGGACATAAAAGTGCGTCTATGCCCGAGCACGTGGGTACTTTGCAAGGTTAAATATTCACCTCGAACAAACAGGCAGACATCTTCGCGAGTTCCTGGAAAAGCACTTAGGTGACATTTCGTCAACACTGTGGGAATGGGTGCGGCGTAGAAGAATGCACAATTTAGGTGCTCTTCTCGCTTGCTGTGAATAGACACAGACGCGCGTCCTAACGCATTGCACTCTTGCTTGAGATATGTGGGCACAATTTCGATGCATGCGCAGACGCGGCTACTGCGTGATTTCTGCAGCGCCCCGACGCTGACACGTACATGCTGGTGCCTTGCTACTTGCCGTCCAAGTACTTCGTCCTGTCATTTTCCGAGACCCTGAAGATAGACTTCGTGGTAGTTCAATCCTTTGAGATCTACGCAAATGCCTTCTGGCACATTCAGCTTCTTGGGTGTGTCGCTCATGCAGGCTAACAGCCTACTGTGCAAGCTGCTGCATGTTTGCCGCCTTGTGGGATTCTGCTTTCTGTGTTCCAATGTACGCACCCACTAGCCCAAAGGTGTTTAGCTTGTGCAGCATGTTAGTGTTTTTGGCAGCTCCATTATGCATCACTTTTCCCCTCTGCATGACTGGAAAGAACATGGGACATTTTTGGCCTTGTGCACAATCTACGAACGAACACTTTAGCAGGCTTCCCATCAGCAATATCGTCAGCTTACGTGTCGTTTCTAATGCTTTTGCTCAGGGCAGACACGTACCCGACACGACAGTGGCGCCTCATTGCTAACCTTGAAACTGCAGCAGATGTTTCCTCCGAGCTCTTTGACCTCAAATCTGAATGTGCAGCCCTTGGAAGCTGCTGGGCAAAGTGAGGCTACCGTCTTAATCTTTCCATGCTCTTTTTGTAGCGCTTTCAGCATGCATTAGAGAAGTTGAATGCAGCTTTTATCTCTTGGGGGCTTTCGTATTGCGTAGGTTTCTTAAGGTTCGTCTGCTAACCCACCATGATGAGGGGCCTCACTACTATTGTTCGCTTACTTCTTTTCAGGTCAGCTATACCCCTCTTTCGTCTCCGTTTATTTCTCGTTGGCTGGCTTTTTACTCACCTGGCCATTGCATTCTATGCGCAGCTCCGTGGTCATATCTTCAGTGGAATGGCTTTATCTTCATATCCTTATCATTTTCATAAGTGTTTCTCGGAGTAGTGCCCATTCCGCTGTTTGCCAAGACTGGTGGTGAACTGACGCTTTTGGCTTCGTGACTCAGGTTTTCGGTGCCACGGGCGTGCAGTTTCTGGAAACACAAATTCATGATGAGTTTGGTGGTACCACACAGAAGATTGGAGTGGAAGCATCTGAGGTATTGCCAGCGTCGAACGGACCTGCTGGCGTTGCCACATTTACTGCCGATTCCGCATCTGCCGCTTCTCTCGTGCTTGATGCTAAGGACACCAGAGGCAGCATAACGGCTTCCCCCAATGTACAGCCACACCATAATGGCGCTCACGAGGGACTTGCTCTGCGACCAGGAAAATTGGCTTCTGCTCCATTGCCTCCGGGCTTTCAGAGAAAACCGCCACCGCGGAATCCGTTACAGCATGGACGGCGCAAACCAGCTGCAGGAGCCCCACAGCAAGAACAAAGGATGCAAGGTGGCTTTCCCATCGCTAGCGCATCGGAATTTCTGTCACAGCGTTGCTCTTCCTCAAAAGAAGCTACTGCTGCTTCGGTGACGCAAGGCCGCCGCCCAGCTGACAGCAATGTAAGGGACGACGCTTCTGGTGACAGGCGACCATCATACCAAGAGCAGGAGCGAGGGAATCTTGATAGAGCAATAAGTGTTGGTGCCTTGTTGGACCCAACGCCGGCCGCTGCGCCTGTTGCTGCTACCCCCGCAGATACTGAGGCGGGTTTCATAGGCAACAATGCAGCGCAGAAGTATGAGCTGCAGCGTAATCTGCCCCTATCGGAAGAGGGTAGAAAACAGAGGGCCGAAGCGTTTGTTGCGCTGTCTAACGCACTATTTGAGGCCGTATTAAGGAGCAGCAGGCCCAAAATATAACTCCAGTCCAGGAGCATCAACCAGAGGTTCACCAGGATGTACTGGCACATGACGCTGACTGGATCGGAATAGATGATCTTCACTTGGTGGGTCATTTCCCACAGGAGTCTTTGGGCGCCAGAAGCAAACCGGAAAGTGCTGTTGTCTGCGCAGGAAGTACTGACATTAATGGCAGAAGCAGGTGGATAGCCGACAACCCGGTTTTCGAACCGACAACTATCCGCTTCTTCTGTTCACACCATGGGGTAAATGCAGAAACAGCTGCACCTACCAGCGTTCCTGTTCCTGTGAAGAAAATGAACAAGACTCCTCCAGGTCACCATACAAACAGTAATGGCAGCCAGAGCGGCAAAGACCAGTACTACGCAGACGCGGCAACGGAGGCGCTGCAGCATGCAGCTGCATACGCTCGTACGTTTCTTGTGAGCGCCCTGAAACAGCAGCAACAGCCGCAACAACTTCAACGGAGTCCGATTAGCACCGCATTCATGCAATACCTTATGAAGACCACTCCGGGCAACTCAGATCTGCAGACGGAAATACTTGAAGTGCTATCACAGCTACTGCAGCCACCGAAAATCGAAACAAGTTGTAAGTTACTAAAAAAAAATGGCCGTGCATGGAATTTCAGGAAGTAGCAAGTGGCAAAACGCGACGGGCCGGTGGTAGAGGGAAGGAAAAGAGAGCGAGCCAGGAGACTGACGAGCACACAGCAGAAACTGAAGGCCAAAAAAAAGACGAAGAAGAGCTGTGGAAGCTCTGCAAATTCTAGCTAGTGGTGTAACTGCATGCGGGAAAGCTTCCCCATATGGATGCCTGTGGCCTGGCTGTAGAACTTCTGATCATGTTTACGCTGTTGGTATGCGTTTTCTGCCGCAGCGAAAAGCGGAGGTGCCAGTAGGGAAAATGCAAGAGGCGGTGCCGCGTCGCCACCAGTCGTAGGACCTCGCGATACGAAGGGCGAGCATGTACTGGTAATGCTGTTGGAGAGGATGAAATCTTTGGAGGGCGAGACAGCTGCATTCAGATCCGCGTGCGCTCACATGTGGTACCGCTGGTGCTGAATTTCTGTGTCCCTCAACTCCAGCCTTGCAGCCTTGTATTCCTTGTAGTTGCAGCGGGCTGCACGCTTTTCCGTAGTGCTTACTGCTGCGGACTTTTTGCAGAGCTGCTGAGCGGCAGAAACAACTGCAGTTACAGCACGAGCAGCTGTTGCATCTCACACTCTTAGTCCAACTGCAGCAGCAAGTCGGGTTTTTCCTGGTAAGTTTGTGCTTGGTGAGGGAGCTTCACCTGCTGTTTCTCACGCTTTTGTTGCTGCTGTTGAAACATCCACTTTTTGTGCCTTTCTGCTGTTGTTGCAGTTTGAACGTCTGGGTGCGTTTGATGGACTGATTCCCCACGTTAGCCCCTTGGTACAATTGCTAGATGAATCCGAGTCTAGCACCTCAACAACGGCGACAGCTTCACAGAAAGGCAGAATGATTCGCGGCACAGACAGTGACAGTCGCGCTACAAATGACCAGCAGATTGATGCGCGCTGCGACTTGATGGACGGCAGCACAGGCGTTTGCACAAATCGGCAACCGCAGAAAGAACAGCAGCAGCAGCAGTACGGCGATTTTGCTGAACATGCTGGGGGTGGATGGCTGTGGAGTGCAGCGGAGCAGTTGCTCCAGCCACTGGAGATGTTGTGGCAGTGGCTAGTGCTGCCTCTGATAAGGTGGGGAAGCAACGCGATTTGCTTCGCGGGCTTTGCTGCAGAGCTAGTGAGAAGTTCGCTTTGCAGTAATCCTGAGTCGGTGCTTCTGCAGCAGAGCTGCGCAGCAGTGTCTTGGGTCTACCGTGCAGCTGCGTCCGTCGCACTAACTTTCGTTAACACGCTGACAAATAGCGCTGATTTTGCGTGTCGAGGCGTTTCGTTCTCTCTTGCTCAAGCAGCATTGACATGGAATCGGCTATCTTCTGTGATGAAACATGTGCCTCAACTACTGCCTCTCGACTGGTCCACCGAGAGAAACGAATGCAGCAGCAGCTACTGGGGTCGAAGACTTTTGACGCTTCAGGATCGGGGTATTCAGCAGTCTCCAGATACTTTTGCGGCGATGCCTGTGTTATTGCTCTTAAGTTTTTTGTTGGCCATTGGTGGCGCGCTCTTCTGGCGAATGCGGCATGGGCAGCGAGTTGCTGCTGCAGCTGCTGGCGAGTGCGCTCTGCTGCGCCGTTCCTTCGAGCTGTTGCAACAGCAGCACCACATGCTGCTGAGTCAGCTTGAAAAATATGAAAGGGAACAGCAGCTCTTACTGCTCCTGACGGCAAGCAACCACAGTGTCAGGTCCTCCCGTTTACTTGTGCATCGTAGTAAACATGAAGGAAGTGGTACGGAGTTTCTTCCACGGCAACCAGGTGGGCATAATGACAGCGTCATAAGGCTGGAAAATTTTCCTGGCACAGCAGGCAGCGCAGCTGTTCAGCGACTTCCAGCTGTCACAGACACTGCGGATCCGTTTGAATGCTCAATTAAGAGCGATACCCAGGAGACTATGGTCAAACGAGCAGACCCTGCTCCGTCATTGCTGCGTCGGCTCTCTACTTCATTGGCCCCGAGAGTGTTTCTCGGACTTTCACGCAATGCACCAGGCGCGCCTCACGTGGCGGCCGCAGCTCGTGAAAAGGAAGAGAACTACAGACAGACAGCCAACGCTGCTGTATTGCATACTTCTGGTCAGGATGGTGAAGTAGTGCAGCCTCAGCTTAGAATTGTCCAGCAGCAAGAGGGCGAATGCGGGCCGCAGCTCCTTATTCAAAAAGAACAGCAATTTCAGCAAGACCAACAACCGCAGACGACTGCAGCGACGTTGTTGCCAACGCTTGATACAAGAGCTATCAGGAGTCTCAAGCTTCAGCGCCACACATTACGGCAGCGGCGCCTTGGAGGTGCCACAACACCCGTGGCTTCTCCCGCTGCTGCAGTTGCAGCAGACGGAGAACATGTTTTGCTGCCTACATTCAATGCTGGCACAGAAGTTTGTTTACGCACGCGGGATCCTTACGTCTCCTCCGGAGCGGAAGTTGCTGGAGTTGCAGCTTTATCTGGAGCGCCTTCTCGTAGCAGCAGCAGCAGGAGCAGCAGCGTTTGCAGCACGAGCAGTAATCTTCAAGGGGCTGCAAGTACACTTTTTAAGTCTTTGTGGGCATCGCAGCTTCCACATCGCGGGCTGTTGCCGCACATGTGTCTTACGCTGCAGCCCACACAACGACAAAGAGGGAAACGAGTCCTTGCTGGGCATCAAGGCTGCGAGAATCCGGACGGGAGGGCATCCAGCGCTAGCGGGGGCAGTGGGAGCAGCATCGGCTTTGGTGAGCCACTTGCAGAGGCGACGTCCTTTCAGCACCACTCTAGCTGCAGTTTGCCTGTTCGCACCATGGTTTCAGCTATTAGAGAAACTGCTGCGGAATCAGGTGATCCATTTGATTCTATAGCAGGAAGAAGAGCTGAGACTACGGCTTCGTGCAATTGGGGACACATCAGTATCAAGAGCACCACGAGCAGTAACTTTGCCGACGCCATTTCTAGCAGGGACCCCAATCTGGAGTCAAATCAACTGCAGCAGCAAGCCAATCCATGTGGCAGAAGTTGTACAGACATGAGGACGCTGACTAGCGCGCTGCCTCACCTTGGTGCAGCCCCTGAAGCAACGCTTTCCTCGCCGTTGCTTCGAGAAGAGCCAGGCAGGCCAGGCCCTGCCAGGCAAGGTGAGCACTTCAGCTATATGGTATCTTCACGAGAAAGCCAGGCCGCTGCTAATGCTCCATTGCACACCGATGCTGCTGTCGAGATACCTGAGACCCAACCCGAACCGGTGAAACTGTCGCATGCGCCAGCGGTTGGTGCTTCCAATGCGCGGCGTGATGGCCGCCGACGCAGGAAAAGGCGTGGGGCTTCGTAACTTTAGCGCATGTACTGCCTCTAGCTGCATGTGCAAGGGCTTACCATTGTTTGGTAACTGGCGAATAGGCCAAGTACTTCCGGAAAAGCTTTCAGCATTACTGTGGGCTGGTAGACTGGCTGGCAGAAGAGATGAACAGGTGGAAACGCTGGGTATCGCACATTAGTGATGTCGCAGTTTGTAAGAAGTTGCAGAACGGGGGAAGAAAGATTGAGGGAGGAGTCAGGTAGAGCAGCGAAATGAAGGGGCAGATGCCTTGTGCAGGGATTTACTGAATAGCACTTTCGGCAGGAAAAAGCCGTCTGAGTTCAGCCATTTAGTCGTGATGCACCTACGCCGCATCAATCATCCCTTACAAGACGGCATGCAGCTATATTGATCTGTGACCGACCGTGTGAGCTCTTTGAATGAAGAGCTCCAAACGCACCACAGTACTACGGAGCTTACTTGGCATGGCAAAGGAACTAGCATGCCCTGTAGGCTACCAGCTGCGGCTCTTGCTCGGAAGGCCTTTTTGTCCGGTTTCCCTACACGCGAACAGGCCTACGATACGTCTAGAAAAGACTAACCTGCTTTCCTCTCTCAGCGCTGCCGGTGCCCACGAGGAAATGATTCCTGGGGAGCCCTTCACGGTTTGCATTTTCACAACTTGGCATGTATGCGCAGTCTCTAGCCGGTACCGCTACCTTCTAAATTCCACCTACTGACAAGTCCTAGGTTTCCAAATCGCCTACATTAGTGACCACGGAGAAGTTTCGAAAGTTACTGAGAAGCCAGAAAAACAGAAGAGACAACGTTGCTTGTTTTCTGGGGACAACGCCAAGATGGAAATGTTCTCCAAGTGGCACTTTATGGGGTTGCAAGAAGCACTTCATGCACTATATGAAGTTGCACGTAGCATTGTATGCACTATCTTCTATGTGATTCGCGGCCCCATTCCGAGCTGGTTGCACAAGGTAGCACACAACATTCAGCGAACTAGACTGTCCCTTACAAGTTGAAAACTACGCTTTGACTAGATGGCGTGACAGGAGGAGTAAGCCTCCCGCACGTACTGCATGAGCAACGGCCCCACAACAGCAAACGAAGCAACGCACACGAGTAAACCTAACGCTATCTCTGCCACCCACAGAGATATCGCGTACTTGCCAAGAAAGACCTGCTGCATATCATACGCCAGTGTCGCTGTAGTCCCTGGCGGATGCTTGACTGCAAGCCGTCGCAAAGCGGTTTGAGCAGCCATAGCAGCAGCAAAACAACACGAATACCTAAAAATAAGCGCAGATGCACCGGGAGGGATTATTGTCCAAAAGGATGCGACTGGCTCATTGCTGCAGCCACCTGCCGCATTTCGACGCGCCATGCCCTCAATATCGATAGCTTCTGACGACGCAGAAACACTTTGACTGCTATCATGTTTTCCGGTATTTCTGCCAAAGCTGCCACTGTGGCCTTGTGAGATAGACCGTTGTGCAGCCGCTGAGGTTTCCAACGAGAAATGACGATTCATAGGGCGCAGCTTCGACGCTGTCCTCATATCACTGGAGATTGAAAGACAGCAGCAACTAATGCGAATAATAGTACCCACAACCTGAGCGGCTGCAGCCCCTGCTCCAGAAGGTACTCCATAAGCCTGAAACAACAAAAAGTATCGTAAGGGCAACGCCCACAGCTGCTGCTGCAAGCGAAGAACTGTGATGCTGCTGTGGCGACTTCAGCCTAGTGATGCAACTGCCAAGTGCTTCCCATTAGCACATGACTTACGATGGCGAAGCGGACTGACAGCGGCATCAGAATCAAGTGAGCGGCAGTCGCACCCGAGTAGCATCGCTGCAGCAGCTCTAAGCTGGTGCTGCTGCTAGTTGCAGCAGCGTAAGCATCCAGAAGCCCAAAAAGCGAGAGACAACCAACGTAGCAGCAGTAGCTGCACGCATATACAACTCTGCGAGCTTACTTGAGCTCTACAGTAATCATACGGCAACTACACAGCAACCATTCAGCAACCATCCTCCGTAGCAGCATGCGCTGCAGCCCCTTAATTTAACTACCTCGTTACTAATTGCAAAACTAAACTTACACTTGCAGTGTCAGGACACAACCGCTGCCAGATGCGACTGTTGATGGGCCGAAGACGCAGCGGAGGGCCGGAGCGGCAAATAGAACTCCGGCGGCTGCACTAGCAAGCCCCAAGGTTCCCTGCAGTAGCAACAGAAGCTGCAACAGCGACAACGCTGGCGAGTACAGAGGGCGCCGCACGCTTTGCGTTATCTTTGACGGAGAGTTGAGGCGAGAAAGCAACGTCATCAGCCTGCCAAGAAACATAGATTCCAGTGGGCCGGCCTCGCCCCTGTCGGTGCCAGTGCGCCTATTGCTATCGCTTTCCAGAAGTTCCTTTCTTTCGACGCAGCAAAACTGCGCCAACTCTTCCCGATGCCGGTAATCGATGTGCTGTTCTCTTTTCCCCTCTCGTGATTTAGGGCTGCAAGTCTTGCGTCGCGTGCAGAACGGTTCCTTCACGACTTGCTTACCAGCAGAGGATACATGCTGCTTTTTGCATGCTGCGATGCTGGATGAGGGAAACAACCGTCCAGCATCTGGTGCCGCCTGAGCAGCTGCACGATCTCCCCCAGAATGCTGGGCTTGTAGAACACGGAAACTGTCAAAGGCAGCACTTTCGGTGGGCGCGAAAACAACGCGGCAAATAACTGAAGCTGCCCCGGACACAAGAGCATACTCTGCTGCTGCTTTACTGTCCAGTAGCAACAGTAGTAGCAGTTGTTCCCCGTTCTGCAGCACTAGCTTCTGTGCTAGAAGCATCAGATACACAGGAAGAAATTGCATATGCGCCGTGGATATATACTTGCCAAAAGATCGACGAAGTGCAGCAAGCATGGGAGCTTCTGCTCCAGCCGCTACAGCTGCAAGTATTCCTGACGTCTCATCAGATTTGCCGGCCGTCTTGGTTGTTGCTGTTGAGCATACACTTAAAAGTTGAAAGGGTGGCCATGCTTTAAGGAAATCGGGACCTCTCGCTGAACTGGAGGACGTTGCTGATGTAGTTGCTTTTGGCTCTGTTGACTCCACCTTGACCAGGCGGTAGCATTGTAGCCAAATTAGTTGCAGGTAAATAAGTGATGCACATAGCTGAGCGCCAGCAAATGCCATCATGGGACTGAAGAACAATTTTTCCGTCAGTGCTGCATTCCGAGCGTTTTGCTGCATGGGCAGTGCCACTGCAAGGAATGTTGAACGTAGTACTGATGAAACTGCTTCTGCTGCACCGCGTGCCCCCAGGGACTGGAGTAGCAAGCACCGTACGGACAAAACTTCTGCCGCTGCATCGACCAGGCCGGCAAAGGCAAAGACTGCTGCAGCAAGGCGGTAGGCATCAATGATATGCTGCTGGTTAGGTGAGGAACCACCAAAATCGGGACAAAGCACGAAAAGCCAAACCGGAACTAAAAACAGAGAAACGCAAAAGCATGCAAATAATGAAAAATACGAGAGGTTAAATGAGCTTTGCTGCTCTAAGCGCAACTCAGCTTGCTTCTGTTGTTTCCCTCCAGGTGTTGCTGAGCAGCGTGCTGCTACCCGTGCAGTCCCTTCACGAGCGATGAATGACACAAATTGCTGCAACAGTGGGAACTGCAAAAGGCAGATTCCTATCTCTGTGGATGTAGCTTCCCCTGACGAATGGCGTGGAAGCAAGACAAGGACTAAAGAGCTCAGAGCAGCTGCAGCGACACGAGCCACCAAAGAAGTCACCGGGAGTGTGGTTCCCGAATCCTTTGCTGCCATGCTGGGTCGCCAAGCTCCTCAAATATGCAAAACCGCAATCTCGGCGGTTCTTCGCTGCTTGCCTCCAAGCTCAGGGCTACTGGTTGCTAAGGCAGGCAAGTCGCCCAATGTTTTCGTTGGACACGCATTTATGTGAGAGGAATTTCGACAAGAGTTGTGTCGTACATCAGTATCCGGCCTATATAGCTCAGTACTCGTTGTCATCGGTTCTGCTATTGGGAAGACGGGGCTTCGCGCCTCATGACAGTAAATTTGACTCAGTGAATCTATGCTTTTCTCGTCATGAGTTTTATGTACAGTGGATTTCATCATACCGCGGCATTCTTTAGGTTTAGTGTCTTGGCTTAACTATTTCTTTTATCGCGACCAGTGTTGTTCCTGGCAAATCGGCATGCGGGTACCTCGCCTTGCCTACGTCACTGCCTTGCCCCCTTTCTTGTTTCGTCTAGTCCACTTCTGGAGCCATTGTACTGTAATCAAAATATTGAGTGAATATTAGCACGGGCATTTTGCTATCGCAACCGAGATGTGTTATTGAGCTACAGGAGACGTCGCACAGCAGCGCGTAAGAGCTCTCCGCAAGACAGCAAAGAACGTATTCTGGATACGTTTCCTTTAGGCTCGTACCCTCGAAATCTCCTTTCACTCTATCTGAAACAATTTTTAACACTGCAGAGCTAGCCGAATATTGACTAGGGGAGAGCCTTGCACAGGAAAAAGACTGCGAGTAATCTACACATCGAGATAAGCAGAAGGCAAGAAGGCAGTGTGGGTTACCCCTTTAAAGAGCTGTTCTTAAGTCAACTACGCATTTGGGGGGGTCAGATAATATTTTCGACGACGATTGCTGGCCTCAGAGATTTCGTGCATTAGCAGAAATGGATAACTTTCAGTGCCGCGAACCAACTAACCACAGTTCCCTGTAAAAGCACGGACACTGGGAAGCTTCATTCAAGAATATATCAACAAAATTCAATTCCTAAGCCCTTACCTCAGTGTTTAAGTGCAGCTAGAACCGAGAGCCAGTATGCATTTGCGCCAGAATCCCACAGACGATCAATACTTATGACTACTACGTATTTTGTGCTACCTTCTATTTTGATATTGAGGAGCTGAGTACACGCTGTACGGACTCCTTGTCATGAATTTCCCCTCAGTATCTAATAAACCGGTCAGTAGTGGACCTGCGAGTTTCGTCAGGCTGCTAAGAAGGGGCCGTCATAAGAAAAGGCTGTCGTCCATCCCTAAGAACGTTCACATATCCTACGCAAACACAGGGCTTGACATACCGTTTTTCTGGTATTCTAAAGTCTTTTTCTTAGACTCAGCGGCATTCTACCTCATCCTTAAACGTGCGGCCGAAGAAGTTGAAGCTGTGGCTGCCAGAAAGCAAGGCGGATTGTAGTTGTGAGAATATTTTGCGCTGAATCTAGACGGCAAAATTAAAAGGAGACTTCGCAAGTTGCAGTCCTCCGCAACTTTATTTGATAAACAACGATACTACGGATTTGAGCATGCATATGCGTTAAATGTGCAGTTACCTTCTCCTGATATCAAATCTAGTCGAGGTAACCGAACTCAAGGATAAAATTTTTTTTTGTCTTGCCAAAACTTGAGCTTTCAAGAGGGGCGTCTCCAGGTGCTCCAAGAGATGTTGGCGTTTGGAAAGGCCAAGTATGATGGAGACATAGAGGAAGCCTCTCTCAATAAAGCATTGTTGAGAGCCAAACTTTCAGCGGAAGCAGAGTAGACACTGAATTGAGCCTGTTTTCCAGTGTAATTGTTTCCGGCATTGCTTGAAGAAGAGAGCACAAAGTGTATTGAACTCTATCTTCAACTTGGCCACTGCTACCACAGGACGCAGCCTTTGAAAATTTTCGCTCCGTTTTATGTATTGTGCCTCGGAATTCATACTGTAGCAGCCTCGACAGAACTTTACCTTAAAGAAGATGCCACTCATGCCGTTCCTAGTTTGTAGTTGATTTGATTTCTAAGCTTAGGATCCCTGGTTTACGTAACTTCAGCTTCTCGCCTTTCTAGCCCACCAATATAGTTACCTGAAGCATTTACCAACGACGACCGGCCAGCGAGGCGCTGCATTGGACACTGGATCCTTTCGCGTGCCATATTTCAAATAGAACGGTTCTTAGTCAAATTTTATGATCCCAGGCTGGTTCAGAAAGTCAAATGTTAGCCAAAGAATGGCGAGAAAGCAAGTGTGTTTCTGGTCAACTCTTATAAGATTAGGGAATATAAAATTGAGACAGTACTGATTGAACCAATTGGACGCACATCATCAAGAAAATGTGTTTGCTAAAATTATGTTCAGATACCGTAATCACGCAATAGCTTCAGGCTAGCTGCTTCGTCTTGCAGTATGTGGCAGCCACCTGGCTCCCAGAGTGTAATGCACAGGCACTACAATAGGGCTTGCTGGTGACCTTAAGAGGCTAGATGGCGGGTGGCATGTGAGAGGCTGGCACGCTGAAAGAGCGCGGAAACTTCTTCCTAGTAACAAAGTAAGGAGATTTATCATCAAATTAGCATGTGTAAACTGAACGCCTGTGAATATCCGAAGATTGGGGCTAGCGACAGCGGCACTGGTGTGGGTGACCGCCCCACAGGGCCAAGAAGACAAGAGCCCTGAGTGGCGGGGCTTTAAGAAAAATCGATTTAAGGACTTGAAAGTTGACTGCTATTATTGATAATGTGGTATGTGTTTGACTGCTATTATTGATAATGTGGTATGTGTTCCGTGAGAGAAGCGTCGAAACTAGAAGGCTTTTCAAAGGGCGCCCTATTCCTGGGCCAGGTGGCAGCGTAGTCGCAGCTACATGTGGGGGTTGCTCCGGTACTGAAACCTTTTTTTGGACCGTAGAGTAGAAACAGCTTGTCTAAATGATTCACACCTAGATCTCTTAGCTTGGTAAGGGCTGCGTCTACGCAACGGAAGCGTTATCGGCCCCACACAACAGGAGACTTCTACAATGTCAGTAAGCAGTATGCCCAGCGGGGCACCGGCCCAGCATCGTCATGCTACTTCGAAACCCACCGTCGTACAGCGGCCTCATGGGCATAAGGAGGGGCCCCCACAGGTGGCAACTATAACTGATGTTACCGGCATGCCGGCGGATAATCCATACGACACGTGAGACCGATTCCACTCCGCGAACACTATGATAAGAAATGTTATAGGCGGGTACGAGGAATCGGGCGCAATGCTTCCCATACTTCCTGAAGACGGCAGCACTGTGCAGGCCTTTTTGCTGCGCAGCGAACGACGGTACATCCAGATGGGATTGGATCCCCACGGCCGGGTGAGCGCAATTATTGACCACCTTGTGTGCCTGGCTCTAACTTACTGGATGTGTCTACGGCGAGCTATCGACCTAAGTGACTAGACGACGGTACAGTGCCCGACTGAATTGACGCCGCGAAGCCTTTTGTTTATCTTGCGAGCAGAGCGGCTTCTTTCCACTAGATATAACGTTACATGCAAGCTACCTTGCGTTTACTTCAGAGCTCTGGTTTCACATTGAAACTGCTCGCTTCACCGTTCAAAGGTTTTCTGCATAACTCCCATGCATCTACGTATAATATATCTCGGTGCAGGTACAGGTTTCTGCAAATGCGTTACTTGTAACGATCTGTTTTTCAACAGAACGCTTGCTAGCTTTGCTATGAAAATTGAGACGGACGCTGTGATGCCCGCAGAAACCAACAATATACAGATGTTCTGTCAGCACTGAAATCATTGGAGAGTTTGGTGGCGGCTTCGTCACACAGGCTGCATCCTTCATTGCCCTAGTGCGATGCCGTTGCATGTGTATAAACAGCGGGCACCCGTAGGCCTGTTGCTCAAAATTATTTAATGTCTTCCTGGTACTTGCAAATGTTTCTATTGGAGCTATTTGTGAGAAAAATAAGGGGCGTGTGCTCTGTAACCGCTAATTTATTTAGAGTGGAGCTAAGTGACTGCTGGCATGAAACAGTCCCTTCAATAATAATTTTTGGCTATATGGGTGAACAATGGGGTAGATAAGAAAAGGCAGGCATGCAAGGAAACACCAGAATGACAGTTACACTCTAGAGCACAACAAAAATTTCGTTGTTCAACATCTTTTATGCTCTTTTCCAGACTAACTTGTGCAATGAATCTCCTGCTTCTAGTGGTGTGAGCCACACAACAAATCAAGCTTCCCCTTGGCAGCCAATGGGTTCAGGGTCATTATGTGGAGATGGAGCTAGCCAGATCGTAGTCGAGGAAATGCCGAAGGCTTCGAGAAGTTGCATGCAAAAATGCCTTCGAAACACAAGCGCGTGTTTATACTGCTGTCCTTTACTGTTCTGGGGAGGAAGCGAGGGAAAGTACGAGAAATTGGAGAATTTTCTGCCTGATCAAGTGCCTCATATGAACTGGTTGCTCCAGAAGCTTTTTTCTGGAGCAAAAACTCGATTGTTACTCTCAGTAGAGTGAACAAGCGGACTCACTGCTGCCGCTACGTATAGACCTAAGTGCTTCTTTGCGAGGAGCATCCCGACAAATCAGGGGAACACACCTTAAATCCACATAACTAACCTCGAGTCATGTCTCCAGTCGCTGTTTCCATTAAAGGGAGACTCCAAAAGATCTGCAGTCTGGTTCTGACCCCCTAAAATGGATTGAAGTCTCGGAAATTCAGTCAGCCGCAAAACCCTGATTGGAAGTTGGCGCTCCCAGTCGGTTGGCATTGCTAGCCGGCAGACGCAAAACGCCTGCTGGCGCTCATACCAGGTTGGCCCTCTCTCTTGCCGAACTGACCTGGATTAATACAAATGCGGCATTATATCATGTTTTTTCCACGGAATGGGTCACTACTATATCGCTACTGGCTCACTGGAGAGCCATTGTAGTACCTGTGCAGCCATCCGTATGAAAAATGTTGTTGAATTCCACGTAATATGAAGGAAACTTCGCAACTGTAGGATTCCCCTATATTGAGCATGGCATACCTATCTACATATGCAGGCACTTCAGGCCGTGTGTATTGCACAGGCACTACAATAGGAGTTGCTGGTGACCTATAGAAGATAGCTAGCTGGTGATCTACAAGAGGTCAAAACACGGAACGAGGACAGGACCCTCTTACTAGGATCGAACTAAGCAAATTTGCCGGCGAATCAGCATGTATATACTAGACGTACCTGTAAATATCCGGAGATTGGGGCTAGCGATAGCGCCTGCACCGGTGCAGGCCTCCTGCCAACAGGGCCTAGGAGGCGAGAGCCCCAATTGGGGGGGATTTTCAGGGAGAGCAGATTTTGAAAAACTATGAATAAATGTATTTCGTGATGGTTGGACTTCTGTTTCAAGGAAATGCGCCGAAGGTAGACGGTTATTGTAGGCCCCTACTCGAGGGTGCAGGTAGCAGCGTACTTGCAGCAGTAGGTGCTGTGCACTACATTTGGGGGCTGCTTCGGGATGAAATCTTTTTTCTTTCCGAATTTGGGAGTAGAAATATTATGTTTCAATGATTCACACCTAGATATCTTCGCTCGATAAGGGATGCATTTCCGCAACGGACGCGTTATCGGCCCCACACCGCAGGAGACTTCTACAATGTCAGTAAGCAAAATGCCGAGCGGGACATCGGCCTATCAACGTCATGCTACTCCGAAGCCTACCGTGGCAGACCGGCCGCATGGGCATAAGGAGGCGACCCCACAGGTGATACCTATGACAGTGTTATTCCAGGGGACAGTCGCTTCGTCACGTGGGACCAATTCCAGTCCGCTATGAGTGTGATGAAAACTGTTATAGGCGGGACCAGGGAATCGCGCGCAACGTTTCCCATACTACCAGAAGATGGCAGCACTATGCAGGCTTTTTTGCTGCGCATCGAGCGCCTGTACACCCAGATGGGATTGGAGCAGCGCTGGTGGGGAAGCGCACTTAATGACCACCTTGCGGGCCCGGCTCTAACGTATTGGATGTATCTACGGCGAACTATCGGCCTAAGCGACTGGGCAACGGTACAGCGCAAGCTTTTGGAGCGGTTCGGCAAAACAATGTCGCAGGGTTAATTGTTAACGGAGTTGGCTAAAGTACGGTGGAATGGTAACCCGAAGGAATACACGGTCCGGTGTGCGGCTGTAGCCGGAAGTGGCATGGGTGTCGCCCCAGACGAACTCACTGACTACTACTGCACCGGGCTACCGATGGACCTCCATATTCTAATCACCAATAACGGGCAGGTGAAGTATCAGCCGTGGGAACAAGCGGCGACAGCCGCAGCATGCCTCTGTGAACCCAAGCAGAGCGTGCTGTAGCTCCGAGAAAGGACCAGTCGAGACATCAGGGCTGCTATCCAAGCTAATGGACCTCGTCGGCGCCAGGAAATCGAAAGTCGACCCGGGGGAACTCACGCGAACTGCTATGAGTGTCAGGATCGCGGACATCCTGCACGTTTCTGCCGCAGCACGGGAGAACGTACCAAACGTCCGCGGGAAATATGCAAGATGTTTGGCGGTGTGGGACGCTGTGCTCGGGACTGTCCTACGTACAAACGAGGCCGGACCGGGCCGGAGGAAAAGAGCAGTAGGCAGCCCACACGTCTTAGCACTGAGAAGACGGAACAATTAAACAAGGGGGCCTAGGCGTGGTTGGAGATGAGCGTTTTAGGCCGCGTAGCCATGACAAAGGGATAATGCATACGGTAGCGACAGGCCCCAATGCCATTCTAGCCTCCCTTGTGTGGGGACACCAACTCCTCAACACTGCGGAAGGAACTAATACGAGCGGTGGGCATGCGGAAGGGACTCCGCCGCTTTTGGAAACGCGGTGGGAGTCTGGGTTGGCGTCGTTCCTGACTGAAGAGGCTCCGGGTGCGACGACGGCTAGCAGCAGGAAGTCTGCAGAGGCAACAGCGACGGCTACAAGCCAGACGCAACAGAGATTGCGCCACATTGGTGGCGGGAAACTTGCACGAAAGAGCCTTACGACCGAGGGGAAACATAGTGCTATGTGGGTGCGACGGCGTTGAGCTCGCAGGGAGTCCATGTGACGGCCTCTCGGACACTGGGGTTTCGAGAAGTTTAATCGGTCCCGAAACAGTTCAAGGTGCGGAGATTTCCAGAAGAGCATAGGTTCACCAAAGCCACCAAAGCTACAGGTGAACAATTACGGGATGATCGGGTTGTGACGGGATTGACCATGTGGTGTTGAGATGTACGCTTTTGCAGGGACTTCTTAGTGGGACCCGTTCCCTATGAGTTAGTCTTGGGCTTGGATTGGCTGACGGAACATAAGGTGGCCTGGTTTTTCCAGTGCGACAAGCTCTCAACCTATGTGAATGGCCAATGGGGCGAGTTACCGGTCATTAGGACTGGTGAAGCAAAGCTGCAAGGTGACAATCCCGCCGTAGTCCACCCAAGGACCCCGGCAGAGCAAGCATACGAAATATTGGCCAAACAAGTGGCGAGTATGTCAGCCGAGGAGGCAGCTATATTCCTACGCCCGCCACCTAAAAGGTGTAAATCCCATGCGAAGACTAAGGCGAAGGCACGGATCACGTCGCTCACTCATCAGGCGGCGGCTGACACAAAGAGTCTCAGGGCACCGTTGCACGGTTTGCATCTCATACTGGTTTTGCCCGAAGCCGATTCGGCAGTGCCCCTAAGGCTCTCGGATGAATGGCAAGGCGCGCTTTGTTGCGCGTTAATTGGGAAAGAACCCACGTCCTCCGGCTGGCGTAGTCCTTTGGTCTCAACCGCCTCGGTGGCAGCGGAGAGTGACGAGGAGTCTCCCTGGCCTATGGCAAAACTCGAGCACACTCTGTTCGACGAATGGATAACTTCGCCGGAGGCGCAGGATACTCCATGTGAGGTTGCCCAGGTGTTGCACGAGTATCGAGCGGTTTTTCCCGATACCTTACCTAAAGGATTACCTCCGAAGCGCCCTCATGATCATCATATTCTCCTGGCGCCTGGAAAACTCCCAGCGAGATATGCAATATACCGTATGACCCCAGATCAGCTCACATTCCACAAACAGGAGATAGCTCAGTTATCGGACAATGGTTGGATCGGACCGACCTACTCGCCTATTTGCTCTCCTACGATCATGGTGGACAAACGTGATGATGGCTCCGGGGAGCGGAAGATGCGTATGGTTGTCAATTACCAAGCCTTAAATGCGCTTAGGATAGCCCCTGATTTTCCACTACCTCTCATTCAAACCATTCTGGAGCTGCTCGGAGGCGCCAAGTATTTTTCCACCTTGGATCTTGAAGCAGGATTCCATCAAATACGTATGGCTAAGGAAGACCGGTGGAAGACGACTTTCCGGTCCGTTCTCGGACTATTCGAGTACCGCGTGATGCCCTTCGGCCTTAAGGGTGCTCCCGCTACGTTCCAGGCCAATACTAATGCCTATCTACAAACCTTTATTGGGACAGGGCGTTGTTGCGTACCTAGATGATGTACTTATCTATAGTTCCGATCTCTCTGGGCACGTTTCTTTTCTGCGACAAGTCCTAAGCATTTTTCTTAGACACCAGTTCCACCCAAAATTCCGCAAATGCAAGTTTGAAAGGCAAACAATTACATATTTGGGTTATACAATTTCTGCTACGGGGATCAAACCCGCAGAAGATAAAATCGCAGCCATCCGGCATTCCGGTCTCCACTACCTC